TGCCCTCAGGCCTTTACAGCTGCTATGGATAACAGTTCTCCTCCTCCTTATGCATTAATCCCAGCATTAACACCAGTCTGAAAACACTCAAGGTCAGGTTGGATGGAGCTCTGAGCAACCTGACCTGACTGAAGATGTCTCAGCTCCTTGTAGGGGCATCAGACATTTAAAGGTCTCTTTAAAGGTCTCTTCCAGCCTAAACCGTCCTGTGATTCTGTGATTCTACAAAGCATACTTGCAACCGTGCCTTTCCTCAGTCTTTTCTATAGGTTACTTAAACCAAATTCATATGCTCAGAGACCCTTAGTTTCCCTGAGCATCTGAGCAGCCCCTCAGAGATCTGCTGTAGTAGTTTCAGCTCATCATTCCTGTGTGACTGGAGCTGTGCCTTTGACATGGGACAACACTCACCACAGCCTCATGCAAGGTTCTCACCCAGCAAGGCACCACCAGCTGAGTTACCAAATTATGTAGTTCTCTCCTACGGTAGACCTCCTGTGACCAGCTGATATACCCCTCTCTTTCTCACTCATTTCCACCTCATGAGCTCCCAGATACCTAATTTTTTCCTGGTTTTATTTCTGTGATCCTCAGGGTCATTGAGTTGTTCCTTCCCTGTCCTGACTCCATCTCCCAGCTTTATACCCTCAGCAAATTTCATCAGCACATTTCCTAGCATCTGTGGCACTGGGAAGCACACTGCCCAATAGGTTTGACTGAGAGGTGAACCTCCCTCAGTAATTCAAGTTACAACTACTTTTACTACAGCCAAGGGCCAACCACCATTTTACATTTATTTCAAGAATGTCTGTAAAGCAGTATGAGTTACCGAATTATTACATCCATGCATAGTTAACAGCTATATGTATCAGAGCTATTCCACTACTCACAAACAGCAGCAGCTTCAGCAGTTCCTGTCTTAAAAGGGCTGGCTTTATTTAGGGCAGGCACAAGGTAACAGCAAGCATTATCTGATTTTTTACCTTTTTGCATGTAGAATTACTTGATTCCTGTCTGCCGCTGTTAGGAGCTGAGAGAACTCTTCATTAGATGACCTTACTTCACTTTCACAACTTACTGTTTACATTGCACTTCCCTTATCCAACTGAGGATACTAAACTGGGAGGAGCTGTTGGCTCCCATGAAGGCAGGGACGCCCTGAAGAGAGACCTTGACAAATTAAGAGGGATGGGCAATCACCAACCTTATGAAATTTGACAAGGGAAAGTGCTGGATTCTGCACCTGGGATGGGGCAACCCTGGATGTACGTACAGACTGGGGAATGAGATGCTGGAAAGCAGTGTCACAGAAAGGGACCTGAGGGTCCTGGTTGATGGTAAGTTGAATATGAGTCAGCAGCGCCCTGGCAGCCAGGAGGGCCAACCATGTCCTGGGGGGCATCAGGCAAAGCATCGCCAGCTGATTGAGGGAGGGGATTGTCCTGCTCTGCTCTGCACTGGGGCGGCCTCACCTTGAATATTGTGTGCCTATTGTATTGGATATGGTGTGTTTTGGGCACCACAATATACAAAAGACATTAAGCTGTTAGAGAGCGTCCAAAGGAGGGCAACAAAGATGGTGAAGGGTCTAGAGGTGCAGTGGTGCGTCCCACCCCACCCATAGGCTGCACATGAAGCCACATGTGGAGCGGCTGAGGTCACTTGGTCTGTTCAGCCTGGAGAAGAGGAGACTGAGGGGAGATCTCATTGCAGTCTACAACATCCTCACGAGGGGAAGAGGAGGAGCAGGAACAGATCTGTTCTCTGTGGTGACCAGTGACAGGACCCATGGGAATGGCCTGAAGTTGTGTCAGTGGAGATTCAGGTTGGATATTAGGAAAAGGTTTTTCACCCAGAGGGTAGTTGGGCACTGGAACAGCCTCTCCAGGAAAGTGTTCACAGCACCAAGCCTGACAGAGTTCAAGAAGCATTTGGACAATGCACTCAGGTGTGACTCTTGGGGATGGCCCTGTGCAGGGCCAGGAGTTGGACTAGATGATCCTTGTGGGTTCCTTTCAACCCAGGATATCCTATAACTAATTCTATAATTAGAATTCTATTCTATTCTACAGAATAGAAAAAATAGAATTCTATTCTATAACTAATTCTATTTTATGGGCCGAGCTAAACTATATCTAAATCTACTTAAATCTGTTTAACCTACCTAAACAACAAATGTAGGAAGAGCATAAGTATACTCCTATCCTCGGCTGGGATAATTCAGTTGTCCAGACAGACTCTGCTCAAGACCCCCCCAAATTTCTCCCATACTATATTCGCCTATATATGATATCCCCGCTTATTATCCCCCGTAATATTTCTCGTGTTTCTCTCTCTCACATCCTGACCCATCCCGTTTCACTGCTGAGTGGTAAGTTCATTAACACCTCGGGCGCTAACGACGCCCCCTCACAGCACCGACGACCCCCGCCCACCGTCCCACAGGGGCCGCCCGCCCCGCCTCGCCCCGCCCCGCTACAAGCCCCGCCCCCGGGACCTCCTTGCCCGCGGATTGGTCGCTGCAGCGCGCGGCGCGGGGCGGGGCCGTGCGGGGTATTTAAGGCGCAGTGGTGGCGGCGACCGGAGCCACTCGCAGGGGAAGCCGGGACGGTGTGGGAACAGTGAGTGGCGGGGCGGGAGCGGCCGGGCCCCTTCCCCGTGTGCCGCGGCGGTCGAGGCTGGCCCGGCCTGGCGGAGAGGCGCCGGGAATGCCGGCTGCGTGGCGTGCCCGGCTGGCCGGGCCTTGCCTTGCCTTGTGTCCCGCGGTAGGAAGCGTCTGCTCGGCCTCCGGGCGCGGCGGCGCTGTGGCTACCCCGGGAGGGAAGCTGTCCTTCGGAGGGTGCTGCTGCTGGCCCCCCGTCACCTCCCCCACGCTCGCTGTCCCTCCCCGTGAGACTCCCCCGCGCAGTCCTTAGGAAGCCCACGGCGCGCTTCCCTCCCTTCCGCCCCGAGCCCTTGTGCTGCAAAATCCTGTAAAATAGCAAATTTAGCCTTTAAGTCAAACCTCCCGCAGAGCAGGGCACGGGGCTGTGTGCCGCTCCTGGCAGTGGCTTTGGGGGGCGGCGAGCGCCCGGCGATGGCTACGGACCGCTCCTAACTTGGTTCGCTGCTCTCTTCTGGGGCACTAACGATGCCTGTGGATAAGAAGGGCCAGGTTGTTTCCGTGCACTGATAATCTCTTGGGTTAGTTTATTTCAAAGTGCCACTGTTGTATAGTCCTGTGAAAAGGTAAGAGAGTGGAGTCTCTTCTGCGTAGGTAGGAAGGGTTCAGTACTCCAGTCTGAAGGACTTACAGGAAGTTCTAGCCCTGGTTTTGCAGAGGGAAGAGGAAGTAACATCCAGCCTTTTGCTGTGCACTAAGCAGCATTTGCTTTTCCAAGTTCAGAGCTTTCTGGAGCAGGCTTTTTTGCAGCTCTGCAGTGTGACGAGTGATTCAATGCCCCTCTGGTTTTTAAGACTATTTAGCTATGTTTAAGGTGATATTTAAAGTAGTCTCCACCTTAGTAAATAGTTCAGATCTTGTTTGTGTTGGACAGGATATCAGCCTCCCTCTAATTTGCTGTCTGTAATTTTGTGTCTGTGCTGTGAAGCGAGAGTCCTGATGTTGCTATAGGAACCGGTTGAGTGAAGGGGAGAGTCAGATGCACTGGACTGATGCCTGTGTACTGGTTTCTCTGAAGAGCTCCAGTTGAATCCTGCCTGAGCTCTAACTGCATGTGAGGATGGTGGTTTCATTATGGAAGCCCAGCTTCACTGAGAAGCATTCCTTTAACTTAGTTATGTCCATATAATCCTTCTGAAGGTGTTTAGTTTTCACCTTTCCTGGCTATTAAAGAGGAAGCTTGACCTGTCTGGTGGTTTAGAGTTGTTCTAATTGGTGTTTAAAAGTCATTATCCAAATTTAAACTTGATGGATGCTTTAAATTAAATAGAAACTCTCTCCGGTGAGGGAAAGGATTTTTGTATGTCAAACACCAGTATCTCTGTAAGTACAACCCTGCTTGAAAGAAAATGTGTGCGTCTTAAATTTGGGGTGGTGCATGTATTGCAGTATATTGTGTGGGAAACCTGCAGCTTAAAAGTATTAGTTTCAGCTATACAGAGTAGTCAGCTGTTCAAGAAATCCTAAGACAAGCAGTCAGATGCTTTAACAACTATCATACTTGTCTTGTGACTACTGTGTAGAAGTAGAAGAAAGGCTTAAAGGATCTGGTGTAAAGCTGACTCAGCAACATACTGAGTCACAGTGACTGGTGCTGCTGAAAGTGCTTGTTCAGTGTATTACAAGAAAAACTGGAGTTTTTCTCCTAGTCCAGGCGCTTGGATTTCAGAGGCATATTTCAGGAAGCCTCCTTCTCTGGAGATATTCAAAAGCCTCCTGGACACAATCCTGAGTAATGTGCTATAGGGGACCCTTCTGGAGCAGGGAGCTTAGACCAGATGACCTCCAGTGGTCCCTTCCAACCTTACCCATTCTGTGATTTGTAAAGCTCATGATTTTCCTGTCTCAGGGGAGATGCTGTATGTTTTTTGAACTTGAGATCTGAGTTTCAGCTTGTTGGTTTTGTTGCTTGAGTGAACAGTATATCTTTTCAATATTGATTTCAGACTGGGAAGGAAGACAGAAAACTGAGAAGGGGAAAGGTCTTGGGTTCTCTCGTGAAGTTCAGCTGAAACTAAAACAAAAGAAGGAAGTGGTAGCATTGAAGTAGTCAGTGACCATTTGCTCATGGCCTGCTGGGGCTGGCTTCTGTTCCTATGGCTTCACTCTGACCTTTCTTGGGAAGTCTGAGTGGCAGGTTGGGACTTTAAAGCAGAAGAAAGCACAGTTCTTAAGCTGCCTGCTTTTAAGTGCCCTTGTAGAACATTAAGTGTGGTGCTTTCTTGCATCTAGCTCCTAGCATTCAAACCTGTGGCGCACTAGTAATTGAACTCATAATGAAATCTACTCTTTGAAGTTGCATTTCATTTGAGTAACATTTTGCCTGTAATTTTGCAGTGAAATGAAGTGTATGATTTAATTGAAGTATCTCTACAGACAGATGTACTATATCAGGTATACTATACTATATATACAGTCTCTATATAAGCTTGCTCAGTTTAACTTCAAAAGTTATTTTGAGGGGAGAGGCAGAAAAAGTGGTGTTGAAATTTAAATATGCTTTTGTCACTGGGTGATTTCAAGGAAGGGAGGGGCCTCAAGTTTTATGTTATTACACTTTGGTGTGTAGCATTAGCAGTTGAAAGGTGAAAGTCTTGTGTGGCTGCTTGATTACTGACTGTTGCTTCTTAAACCTGTGAAGGCTGAATTATTTTTCTGACACAGGATCTTCAGCAACACTTCTAGTCAGAAAATGTCCACTCTTAAAACTGTCTTTAAATACATTGATGAACACCAGGACCTCTATGTTCAGGTAAGTTTTCTTTGAGTTTTGTCTTGCAGCATGGGCAGCTATGGGATATTAAAAGTTAGATGGTCATCTTCAAGCTTATTGTTGCACCTGTATAATATACCCAATAAGAGAGAGTAATCTGAAGTGATTGGAGAGAGGGGAGAGCAAGCAGCAGGTGAAACTGATTTGAGTCAAGCTAGAAAACTGTTCTTTAAGTTTAGGCATAGGTTCTGTTCCAAAACATAAATGTCCATGTTAGATTTATTAGGAAATGATCTATTACTGTATAGTGCAAACAGTGACTTATTTAAAGGTATGAGAAGTTTGATACTGGCTCCTGAATGCAGAGCTAGGTTTGTAGTCTCTTTTCTTTTGAAATGGGAGATGAAAGCTCTGAATGAGGCTGGAATAAACCTTTCTTGTATGAAACCATTTATGTTGGGGTACAGAGGCAGATGTTACCCTCTCCAAAGAGATACTTTGCTGCTTGACCTGCTATTTAGTTGCAGCTTGTATTGCAGTGCTGTTTACCTGTGAAGGAATCAGTGGTACAGCACCGTGAACTCAGGCAAGAACTATGCCAAGTGTTCAGCTTGATTTCTGCCAGTTGCTCTTGCTGGTCTCACACAGGGAGAAAAAGCTCAAGTGTCCTTTCTGAGAGGCCTGAAAGACATCAGCTGGTTCTGGATACTTAAAGAACAGCAACCAAAAAAGCACAGTATGCACAAGCTTTCATACTCTTAACCTTACCTTACATATCTGTAGAGTTTGTGCTGTACTGCAGGGGCAGAGTGAGGTTTTGAGTGTAATATTAGCAGTTAGAGTACTTCTTTGAGCAGAGGACAGAGTGGATTTATCTCAATTAAAGCTTAACTTAAAACAGTGTTTGTTGAATCACAAGGTGTTGTGTTTGTATAGTGCCTGTCATGTGTAGTAAAACCTGTAGCTCTTCCATGTTTCTGTAGCGCCTGGCTGAGTGGGTGGCGATCCAGAGCGTGTCAGCATGGCCGGAGAAGAGGGGTGAAATCAAACGCATGATGGAGGTTGCTGCGAGGGATATTGAGCGACTGGGAGGCACAACCCAACTTATGGATATTGGGAAACAAAAGGTACGTGAGCATCTCCATGTCAGCTTAGTGGAAAAAGTCCACTTGGAAGACAAGATGTTTTGCACAAGAAGGTGCTGATTTCTTATGTTCCCAGTAAGAAAGGCACTTAGTCTCCATAAAGTATAATCTAAAATGCTGTTTATTAGAGTTACCACTATAAAGAAAGAGGACAGTATAGATACTCATGTCCCTGCAGCATCTAGCAGGCATCCAACCAGCACGCAGCATGCTGTTTAGATCCCATTCATGGGAATGTGATACCATTCTGTTTTTTCAAGCTGTCTGATTCCACTGCCAGACAAAAGGGATATTCACATGAAAACTTCTTGATGCACTTTTAGATAAAGTCAAGGACATGCAGGCAGTGTAATCACCAGTGCCAAGTGGGAACTGCCTTCAGGTTACCATCAAGTGGCTCAGTTTAACCTGCAGTCCAGGGATACGCACAGCACAATACAGGCGGGAAAGCAAAACTATGTTCTATGTGCAGCATAGCCTAGCACAGGCTTTGGTGTACTCAGATTAACTATGTGGATTGCTAATTTTTTATGTCTGGTAATCTTCTGCTCAGGATCACCACGCAAGGGTCTTGTGGGTAGTGGCCTAAAAAGTCAGAACCTGCTGGGGTGTGGTGTAAGTGTTTCCTGCCACACAGTCTGAGCTTTCTGTTAAAAACCTTTCTTTACAGTGAACTTTGGGATCCAGATCAGTTAAACATGTTGTATTAAATTTTGGACTGTATTAAATGTGTTTTAAATACTTTTCTGAATGAACAGAACACCTGCAAACAAAAGTGCTAGTCATTTTTAACGACAGGCTGGTGTTGATCCTTAGGCTCATAGAGTGTAAAGATACTGTCTGAGGTTTCAATAAGTCTTCCAAAAGACCTTTGGGCTCTTTTAAAGTGTTACATTTGTCACCAGATTGCATTGTTCCCTTACCAGATACAAAAGTATCATTAAAAGAATGAGTTCCCTCCTTGTTTTTAGCTATCTGGACTGCTTTTTTGCCCAAGAAATGTATGTGCTTATGAGAATGATAATAATAATCTTGTCCTCAGGAACCATCCACTTGATATACTGCTCCTTTGAAGTGCCTAGTCACTATATGCCAGAGAATAAGACCCATACCAAAATTATTAGACGAGCATTTGGATAGTGGCATTAAAAATCCTGTTGTGCTAGAATGTTTGCTAGTTTTAGAAGATTATCACTGTAGTTGGTGGGAAAGAATGCTGAGTGAAATCTGCACGTATTGAGACCTTCTGAGCAGTTCTTGCCTTTGCCAACTGGATTACACTTGTTTGTAGGACTGCAGGTTCCAGCAAGGAAACAGCTGACTTCGTGTGCCCTCTTGGGAGAGAATCTGTAGGATAATTCTAGCTCTGCTGCTACATACAGCCTAAAATCCCCTCAAAAGTGTTTCAGTTAATTCAGAGACAAAGTTGTTCCTTTCATCACTAACTTTTTGGTAGCTTATTTTAAAGTTTTATGCATAACATTATTATTTAGAAAACTTTAATCCAGCTGCAAAAGTTAACTCCAGTGTTTGGTTTTATATTAAGTATAGACAGAGCTAGTCAGTGTATTAGGTACATTCCTGCTATATCTATGAAGGACAATGTAAAGCAACTGGTGAACTTACCTGATCAAAGTTTACTGCTGCACAGCAGTTTGTTCTGTGTACTGATTACTGTAAATTCTTGCAGTAGTTCTTTAATCATATAGAGCTGCAGCTGGCCAAGGACCATGTAGCCTGTTGATAAAAAACCTGGAGTTTGGAGCCCATATAAGCAAAAAGTGCAAGCTGATCTTGATCTGCTGAACAGTGTGTAGGAGTATGTGTTCACCAAAAGGGAAATACATGCTGACTGAGAATAGCATGTGATAATTGCTTATGGGGTATTCCAAAGAACTAAGCCAAGTTCAACTCTTGAACTCTTGAACCGAGTTCATCAGCACTACTCTGCCCTTAGCTTAACAGCATAGGCTTGTATAGAGAAATACAGCTGTTATGCTGATCTTATTTGGGTGTAGGCACGTTACACTCAGAGATACCACTGTCAGGAAATTTTTGTCTAGGGAGCTATACTGTAGACAGGACGAAAGTGCAGTGATAAGCAACACAGAATGCAGTATTGAATGGAGTTTATCGCTTATGCTGAGGTCAGCATTAGACATGGCAGTTTGGTGTGCAGTCAGCTTGCTCTGCTAAAGGCTGATGTAGGATTGGTAGTTTAAAGCTAACAGTTCTGAGTGGCTTGGAACATTCTCATTGTTACTGAGACTTGTTGGAAAGCTAACTGGCACGATACCTTCTCTGGCACCCTGCTTCTGGCAATCAGTTAAAGTAGCTTAGTTGTTTTTTTTAGCTGTCTGTCCCCTTAGTGTCATAACCTCCACAGTATTAAAATAATTCATTTATCTGATAAAAACATGTTTCTCTGACATTCCACATTTGAATAAAACTTCTTCCCTCCTATTTCTAGCTGCCTGATGGATCAAAGATCCCTCTACCACCAGTTGTTCTGGGAACGCTTGGCACAGATCCACGCAAAAAGACAGTGTGTGTATATGGTCACCTGGATGTTCAGCCAGCAGTACTAGAGGATGGCTGGGATAGTAAGCCCTTCACACTGGTAGAAAGAGACGGTAAGAGCAGTGGATTTCACTGTGAGCACTTCTGTGGTATTCCCCAATTGTTCCAAAGTTGTGCTATTGATTGAAAGGGAGGAGAGTAAGAACAGGTATGAGTGTTTATTTAATACTGTTGAGATGAAAATATGCAGGAGGGAGAATGGTAAAAAAGTAGAACTGCAAAATCTCAGCTGGTCTCAGGGCTTGTTTCCTTTTCTGATAGTCTAGGATGTACTTGCATGTTATCTTCCTTGTAGCTACAGCACAGTCTTAACTGCTGCTTTCCATGGTAACAGTTTGTTGCCAGAAAGCTTTTTAGAACTAGATTCTTGTGCTGTTCACAACTTGCAGCCTGTAAGGTCATGTCAAGACTACAGGGATTTTGAACCATTAGCCGGGAAAAATACTCAACACAACTTCTTTATGCCTGGAGACAGGAGTGTCACAGCAGTCTCCCTGGATTGCCTTGTGTTTGCAAACTGTGCTGCCATGAGTACTGCAGAAGCTGTGTTTTGCAGAGCTGGTGCCCAGACAAGTGTCCCTCTCCTCTAAATGGGAATGAAGAAATGGTGCAGTAACTCCTGTCGAAACAGCATTGCCAGTAGCCAAGATGACTAAAACTCTTTTCTATTTAAAGCTGGTGCTACCAACAGCCTCTTCCTTGTTCCACATTCTCAGTGTTAGTGTCAAAGGTCATATGAATAGAAGGACATTAACCACTTGTCTTGCATAAGTGTAATGATTGCCAGAAAAAGGAGTATCTGTGGTAACCAGTATTTCTACTTGGGCCCTTGGTCATAGGCAGCAGAGTCCAAGTTACTAAGTTGGATTCTCTCATCTGATAGCAAGACCTAGATTTACCTTGGGCTGTGGCTTGTCTCTGTGCAGCCTAGGAGTGCAAGAGGCATTTTCACCAATGGCTCTTTACCTTGCAAGCTGTCTGTCCTGTTCTGTCACTGTGGTTACACCTGGTGCTTAGGGGTTGTAGCTGCAGCTCTGAGTTGCAATGATATCTGCCTCTGTGATCCCATGTGCTACATTTTCTGGAAATTCCCTGGAGCCTGTAAAACTTGCCTTTGACTAAAGCCCTTTCTAAGGAGATCCAGTTTTGTCTGGAAAATCCGGTGAACTGATTTGTCACTAGCTACTGAATTCTTACTCTTCAAACAGTTATTGAATTGTAGCTAATACTGGATAGGTTTCTGTTAAAAGGAGGGAGCTTGTTTCTTACACTTACTACTATGTTTGTAGAAAATTGTATTATTGTGAATGATAAGGCAGTTACATCTTTTCCAGACTTATATTCAATTCCTGTCCAGGGAAAAGCTGGGGGGAAAAAGGTGAGGTAGCTCTGAAAGTGGGAGAACTATAGCAGTCCCACTTGCAAGAGTGTATGAAGCAGGATGCAAAATTGCTACTTCAGAAGAATCAGAAATGAAAGTTTTTATATAAGCAGGGATAAAAAGACTATCCAAAAAGATGTTTCCTCCTGTAGGCAAGAGGTGAATCTTCATGCTAATTTTTTTCCACCCTGGTTAATTTTTATCTTGTTTCTACAGGAAAGTTGTATGGGAGAGGATCAACAGATGACAAAGGTCCAGTGCTTGCCTGGCTGAATGCCTTGGAGGCTTATCAACAAACTAACCAGGTCTGTGCCCAAAACATATTCTACTTTTCTACATACAACTGATTCTAGCAATAAATGTTATCTGAGCCACAAACGCTTGTGAGGGAAGCCTGCTTATTTGGCTGATCAGAGGAATGATGCAGTAGTCCTGTAAATTCACTTATGTACTAGTAGGGCGGAGTTGACTTGCTGACAAGTTGGTCTGTTAGTTGCTTGGTTTGCACTTTAAACAATTTTCCTTTAATGAAATGTGTTGGAAGGAAAATGTATATGCAAGCATGTGGAGCATGATGAATAATCAAATGTGATCACTATCATGTAAGGATGTCAAATTAGCTTGACCTTTATCAAAACTTAATGTCTCACTGCCACTGAGCTCTAAGGGGTTAACTTAGTAGCACTGACCTGCAAGCTTTGCTGTTTCCGTTCAAGAAAATGTGCAATTGGAAATAGCTCAGGGTGTCTGCCTTATCTTGCCAGACAAGTTCCTATTACTTGTGAGAAGAATGACTAGTTCTCTATTCCTGTCTAGGTATATAGAATATGGTAGTCTGAATAGACAGGGTAGCTCTAATGCTCCTACAGTGGCATGCAATTTCTGTGGTTAATATTAGTTTTCCTAACCTGGGGGCTTACCTTTGGCAACAGATTTCTGCTGTGTTCCCACAGTTAAGGGGCTTGGGAATGAGTTGTTCTAGAGCTCAGTTAAAACTTTTTGAAGAGTTTTTGAATTGCATCAGATGAAGGGTGGTATAAGTGTCCTCAATGTAAGTGCAGTCCAAACTTTATAATAGTTTGTGCATAATTAACAAATTCCACTGTCATGGATCTAGTTTCCCCATGTCTATTTTTTTTTTTGCTTTGAGCATGACAAATGAAAATTACTGATTGCTGAAGTAGTACAGCATTTTCATACTTAGTCTGTTCTTGTTTTTCATTTCAAAGGACTTACCAGTAAATATTAAGTTCTGCCTAGAGGGTATGGAAGAATCAGGATCTGAAGGCCTTGATGAACTGATTTTTGCTCAACGAGATACTTTCTTCAAAGATGTGGATTATGTGTGCATTTCTGACAACTACTGGCTAGGCAAGAAGAAGCCTTGTATCACTTATGGCTTGAGGGGCATCTGCTACTACTTCATAGAGGTAAGTGCTGAGATACACTACAAAACCAGTATTATTAAACTGAATTTTCTACCGGAGAAGAGTGGTAGCTCAAACTTTTTCATGCCAACAACTTTTCTTCAGAGAAGGTGAAACTGACTGCTTAAGTAAAATGGTTTCTCCTAATTGTCTGAATAATTTTATTTCATTACCCTATCTGATGCTTGTGTGGTAGGGATAGCTTTCAGATGTATGAAGGAGGAGAAGCCAGCAACCTTCTCTGGAGGGTTGTTTCAGGGTGATCCTTGACTACAGGAAGAGATATCACCACTCAAGTCCCCAAGGTTGGGACAGTCAGTACTAAAGGCATGTATTCCAGAGCAATACAAAGCAGATCTGTTTTAATGTACTACAACTGAGTGGTCTGGTTTCAAAACTAGACGCATTCTCAAAATACATGCAGGAAAAAGCTAGGGTAAATGTCTTTGGTGTATTTGACAGTATCTTCATGCTAAAATTAACCTGAATCTTAATTCACTTCAATCAGGTGGAATGTTGTGACAGAGACCTTCACTCTGGTGTGTATGGTGGTTCAGTACATGAGGCCATGACAGATCTCATTGCTCTAATGGGTAAGAAAAAGCAGGTTTCACTAAATGCATTTAAAATGAGAATAAGAACCATTAAAACATGAGTGAGTTTGCAGTGGGGAAGTTGGTAAGGGCTGCTTACACTAGAAAAGCAATGGCCAATGAAATGGAGCTTGCCAGGTATGCAAAGATAGTGCCTGAGATACAGAAATATGGTGAAGGTCTCACCAAAAGGTTGTCTATCTACTCTAGCTTCCTCTAAAATCTTACTGCAAATTTACATGTTAATTAAATCAGCTGCCTTCTCAAACTCTGCTATGGATGTGGTATTGAACTCCTTTGGACCCAGCCAACCAAAGGTAACAGTAGAAGTAAATACAGTAGAATGTAACAGTAGAATTAATACAAGTAGCATGCAAGTGCATATTTTGGATAGCTGCAAATTCTGTAAGTGCCTTCCATGCTCAGTGGTGCATGCTCTGGGAGATGGAGGTCTGAATTTCATTACATTTATGAAGCTTTCAGAAGGCCAAGACTTGTGTTTCCCAAGGAAAGCGTTCCCAGCAATGACACCTTGTATATTCTGGTTTGAATACTGACACTAGGTGTTTCTCGTTTACAGGTTGTCTTGTAGACAAGAAAGGGAAAATCCTCATCCCAGGTGTTAATGAAGCAGTGGCGCCTGTTACTGATGAGGAGCTGGAATCATATGACCAGATTGATTTTGACCTGACAGAATATGCAAAAGATGTAGGAGCAACAAGACTCCTGCATGATACAAAGGTATGCTGCACTCCTTCCTTCCTACCTTGCTTAGGTCAAGCTGTCGATGTTAACTTGATCTTCTGTAGATATATTTGTAGTTACCAAGTAATTCAGAAGGCAGAGGTTCATCTGATGTCTTTAAAATGGTGAGAATGCCTTGAAAATAGTTTTGCCTACTGTGTGGTCGACTGCATGCTTAACACTTTGCTGAGGTATGGCTAGTGTTAGGTGCTTGAAAATTTAGTCTAGGTTATCCCATGTTTAAGGCAAGCAGCCTGGGCAACTTTAAATTTGCTCCTTAGTCTGTGTATAAGTAGCATTTCAAACTTGTACAAAAATTTCTTTATCTAATGCTGTTCTCTTAATGCTAGATAAGAATGTTAGCAATTTTTCAGAGGTCAGATAGCACATTTACACAAAACATCTGATTTCCTACATCTGTAGGAAGTTCAATGTATTATCAGAAATAAAGTAGTTGCTTAGAGATGATTGCTCATTAGGTGAAAAAACAGCTTCAAATCTAGTTGTGGTGAATTTAAGGCTGACATACTGAACATCCTTCTAGACTGGCAAGCAAGGACTGTTTCACAGTCAGGAACTCGGCAGCTACCCAAATCTTTGAACAGGCTCAAGGTCAGTAAACTCATGTCTGAAGTTAAATCTTTGTCCTGGGAGCTTTCCAAATGAATGCTTTTAACAGCATTGAATCTCGCAAGGTACAGGTATTACATACTAATTTTAAAACCCTAGATGTAAATACATTTCCTGTCATAAAAAGCAGACACAGATGTTGTAAAAGGCAAGTTTACATGTGCAGGTCTGTATTCTGTCCTAGTACTGTCAGGAGGAGACTTCAAACTCAACTCAAATAGGTATAAGTAACAATTTATATCCTCAACCTTGTCTTTACACGCTCAGGTTTATATCAACTGGGAGCACACAGGCTTCCTTGTTTAGCCTTGTCCTATAAAGTAATGGATGAATTATAGCTTGTATATAAGGAGGAGCTGGCAAGATGCTCTTTGTGATACTGAACTGAGGCTGTTCAGTCTTGGCTAAACTGAAATCCTAGCTAAGGGAGTTCTAAGCTGCACACAAGAAGGGTTTTAAGGCCAAGGAGAGGTATGGGAGGGAGGTGAGAAACGTGTAACTTCCAGATGAGAAACAATGTGCTTGAGAGATTTGAACTGTGACAGTTACATTTGCTTTGAGAGAAGAATAGGGGCAGGTTGTACCTGGAACAAACCAAACTGTTCACATAAAGGCCACCAAATTCCTAAGTCTCCTGAATTTCTGCAGTGAGGTTCAGGCTTGAGACACTGTAGCTGTGTCTGTAGAGGACAACTCAACAGCTGTGTTGAATTCAGGGTCCAATGTACTCAACAGCTGTGTCCAAGGCAACAAGGAGGAAATGCAGGAAGTGTACCTGGAGGGCAATAATGGTCAATTGAATCAACCTGGAGATCAGGCATTTAAATACAACTGATGATAAAAAGAAAAGCACACCGTATGCCTCAGTCTGAGCAGTGGTGAGGCTTTTAGAAAATACGTGAACTTCAGCACGTGTGTCTTGGTGATGAAGGCACCTGCCTTCACCTACACACTGCTTGAGCACCTTATAAATCTCCTGGTCAGAAGCAGATTGATCACGTCCTGTAAGTTCCGTAGAACTACGAGAAAGGTGAACTAGAGCTGTTGAATCTATTACGGTGCTGAGAATCCAGCTGGTATATCAAAATGTGTGCTTACTGGGAGTAACAGCTTCTGAGTGGTCTTCAATGAGCTGCATTTCTCCATGGGGGAAAGCACTGTTTCTTGCAAATTCTTAATTAGATTGAAGAAATCAATACTTCAGGGAATGCTGTCAAACTTCACGTAACCTTGCATCTTTCTCTTTGCTTCTGCAGAGAGATATCCTTATGCATAGGTGGAGGTACCCTTCATTGTCTCTCCACGGAATTGAAGGAGCCTTCTCAGCCTCTGGAGCCAAGACTGTGGTTCCTAGGAAAGTGATTGGCAAGTTCTCAATCAGGCTTGTGCCAAACATGACTCCTGAAGAAGTCACAAAGCATGTATGTTGACATGGATTGCTGGTATCAAAACAACTGTCTCTAACCTTCTCCTGTTCCCCATGCCTGGGGGAAGAATTTTTCTGTTTTCTAAAGCAGTTCTGTTTGCTTACTTTGCTACTGTCTTCCCTGTTCTGCACCTCAACACAAGATAATTCAGGGATTCATTTTGTGGTGCCACACTGGACTGTTGTCGTCTGACTACCCAATTGCTCTAAACCCAAAGAAGGGGCTTAGGAGTAAATGCTAATGTAATTGTAGGGCACTTGGACTGCCAGAAATGCATGTTCAAAAGCATAAGTATTTGACATACTGGCTAAGTGTTCTACACTATACTGTTAATTTGCCTGAAGGATATATTCTGACTTCAGAACAGAGAATCATAGGAATAATGAAATAAGAGTAATAGGAAAAGTATTGCTGGACTGTTGTAGTGACCTGCAAGTCCCTAAGATGCTTTTAGAATATGGACTTTACTAGTGTTCCTACAAATGCTAACAGTAGATAAGATTGTTCAATCTTTCTTATAGGTTGAAGACTACTTGAACAAAAAGTTTGCGGAGCTGCAGAGTCCCAACAAATTCAAAGTGTACTTAGGCCATGGTGGAAAACCCTGGGTGTCAGACTTCAACCATCCCCACTACATGGCTGGTAGGAGGGCCGTGAAGACAGGTCAGTGGGTTTTTCACTTGGTGTTGGTAAGATTAAAAAGCTCTTGTTCTGTTGCTGTTAATGTCAGAACGACCAAAGTGACACGAAAAAAAAAGTTCCAGCAAAGTTTATTCCTAGGAAAAAGACAGCACCCCGGGGCTGCTGCACAGCCCCTTAAGTACAGTTTTTGAACACACGTAATGCACACGGATAGGACAGTTCAAACTCTCACACCAGAATTCTTACAGCTAATAGGTGTATTTTCTAAACTCTACTTTCTCATAACAACTTTGCTCTTTCTCAAAACAGCCCATTTCTTTCCCACAACAGTCCCGAGCACCTGCTCTTATTTTTTTCTTATGTTGATGTTTTTCCCAACCACTCTCGTTCAAAACAGGTCTCTGTTCTCATGAGACAGTGCTCCTGTTCTCATGAGACAGTGTTCTCTGTTCCCACGGGACAGCTTCTTCAGGATGCATCAGTATGTTGTCAGGATCAGGGCCTCCATTTTCAGTCCTCTCTTTTCAGTCCGTCTCAGGGGTATACTTTGATCTGGTCAACATCTGTTGCTTCATCAGTATGTGCCAAGGTGATGACAGACCCACTGTCAACTGTGACATTGTTCCACCACCTCAAGAAACACTGAAGAGGTCATTTTTGCTGAATATTTAGTGTTCTGCACTTATCTAATAACTTTGGCTCATTAAATAATGAAGTGTGTCGTGCAAACTGAAGTTTGAGGTAGAGGAAGGAAAGAAACTGGGTATTCAATTCATTCATTATTGTTCTGGAACAAGTCTGTTGGTGTGTTGTTGCTTTTGCATGTGAGGTTGTTAGTTCAGATCACCTGCTTAGCCAAATTCCTTGAAGCTTAGTCATTCTAGCGCCCATCTTAATTGGTTTTGGTAGGGCAGCTAGAGCAAATCTAACTTGTGTTGGAGTATAGACAGGCTTTCAGATGAAGATGAAGTCCTGGTGTGTAACTGTTTGAACTGAACTCTGAAAGTAACAATACTCCAGTGCTACATCTGCTGGGGGAAGCTCCATGGTTCTGTGGCCTGTGCAGTCTGGCTGATTTGGCCAGCACCTAGTGCTGGTACTTGATGGCTTAAGTAAGGATTTGTTAGAAAAACAAATATAACTCCAAACTGACTAGAATATCACTTTTCTAGTTTTTGGAGTTGAACCAGACCTGACAAGGGAGGGAGGAAGCATTCCTGTTACCCTTACTTTTCAAGAAGCAACAGGCAAGAATGTCATGCTGCTTCCTGTTGGAGCTGCAGATGATGGTGCCCACTCTCAAAATGAGAAGCTAAATAGGTAAGAGTTTTTATCCCTGTGCCAAGGTGAGTTTACTGGGGGCATGTATTATGGAAAACACTAAGAATTGAACTCTTGCTTTTCTTTAATGCTCTGGAAGGCAAAGTGCCATTTCTCCCTAGCAGAGAATGACTGGGTAACTAATCTGTAGTGGGATCTCGATCTCTTTACTGTTTCTGGCTTTATACACTTGAAACCAGAAGCAGGTTTTATACTTTGGTCTCTAAGCTTGGCTACCCACTACTCAGTGGTGTTTCTGTCTTACCAGGGGAGATGCAGGAAGCTTGGGAGTAGTGCCTGTTGCCTGCAGTGTTTGTCATGTGCATAGGACTGATGTGTGGGCTTTGCAAAAACCACATCTGCTAGAAATACAGCTCAACTAAGACAATGCTAATGGAAGCTGTCTTCTTTCCAGGTACAACTACATCCAGGGGGTGAAGATGCTTGGTGCATATCTCTATGAGGTTTCCCAGCTGAAGGACTAAATTAAACACCCTACCTTATGGTTTATGGATCAGAAGTGTGAATTTTCTTACAAAATGTCATCAGTCACCAAACTTACATGGCTCCCCTTTTCCATGAACACTCTACCACCACTGCTTTGGTGGAGGAGAGGGAAACATGCAGTTCCATTTGACGAACATGTATACCAAAAATACTTCTTTAAATGCTTACTTTAAATTACAAGACTATTCCTTGTCTGGTCAGCAGTCCTGAGCTGCATCTGGGTCTCCTCTGTATCACTTCAGTTTGCTATATTCATCTACTTTTCCTGTAAAGGAAGAGGAATGGTTTGTTCTCAACAGTTTAAGCAGCCATAGCAGTTGTAGAACTGCCAGCTAAATTTAAGGTTCTTGTTCCTGGGTATGTCCTGGAAGTAAGTAGTCAGTGACAGATAATGGGGCTACATTGGAATGTGTTCAAACCTGTCTTTGCTAACTGAGTGATTTGGAAGAGCACTTTGTCTCTTGCAGTTTGTCTCTGCCTGTCTGCAGCTTTCAATTGACAGTGAATCAGGGTATAACAAATTTCACTGTGGTAACAACTGCTGGCTGTTTTTGTAAAGCTGCCTTTGTATTACCAAAATAGGATAATAAATAATCATGCTATAGTTTGGCTCTTGGTCTCTCTAAAGATTAAATAATGACTTGGGAGGGGAAAGCAGCTTACAGAACTTGGGAGGGATACTTCTGTGACTATAGAGGCAGATGAGCAACATGGCTGCACAGACCTGGGAATATCCTGGGAATCCAAGTGTTTATTCCTAGGCTCTGGCTCTATTTACAGCTTGTTGACTTGAAGCAGATGTTGCAAAATTCTGTTCTGAGAGAAAGCAAGCTCAAAATGTTTAATTTTGGTTCTGTAAGACAGATCATCACACTGTAGCACAGCTGATGATCCTGCAAGGGAGTGGGTGGGATTTGTGATCTCTCCCTGCTTATGCCTAATTGTTGCAACTACTAAGGTACAACTTCAAGCTGTCTTCTGGATACATTAAACTCCAACACCTGTTATTATGTCAAAAGACCAAACCCTCTTAAATGTGTGTTAATCTAAACTAGATTGGGATCACTGTTTCTGAATTACCTGACCAGCACTAGCAACCTAAACTAGGTAAGTATTTCAAATGATGATGCTTTGCTCTGAGAGTATGGTGCATTCTATATCCTGACATAGGTGAACAGCATGTCATGCTTTCCTCCCTTGAGGGGCAGAAGGCAGGAGAGTCTTCTCTGCCTGGTTTTCACTGTTGCTTGATCTGGAGACTTAATAGTGTTGGGATAGGGAGTCTTCTGGTCTCCTTGAAGCTTCTGAAGTGTCTCTGTCTAATTTTGTTCTTTTTGGTTTGTCACTGGAGTTAATGGCTGGAGATAATCTGGTACCATTAAACTCTGCAGATGCAGCTGGGGTACAGTCAGACCCGTGTCATATGCCTCCATCAGTACTTGTGAGCACCAGGCACCTGCACAACACCAGGCAACTGAGAGTTGGCTGCTGGGTTCTTACCTGTCAGTGACAGTGGAACTACTCTGCTAAAACATGCAGGATGCACATAGGACAAGACTGGCATACCAGCATATTTGAAGGTCATCTGTATGCTGAGATCAGGGTAACTAGTCCTAGCAGTCAATTTATCTTCCTTGGTTACTGAGTTGGCACCTTAGACTTCTCTAAATGGGGCAACAGTTACATAAAAAGATGATTCCTTCACTGTTGGTGGTTTTATGTTGCTTGTTTTCTATTCACCAACCTGAAAAGCATCAAAACTTAAGAAAATCTGGATCCTGGACTGAGGTAATACTTGTTTCTCATGATGTAAAGAAAAAGCTGTTTGGGCAGGAGGAAAGCTGTTAGTGTTTATGCATTATGTTCTGTATTACGTTCAGAAAGTGTATCTAGTAGTCCTATTGCATTTGTAACAAATTTTTTGAGAATCAGTTAATTGGCTCAAGCTCTGCACTGAAGACACTGCATTGGATCTTACACTTCCTAAGTACAGCATGGCAGAGTTGTGAAGGAGGCCCAAAATAGAAGGGTGTTAAGGAGTCTGTAGAAAAGCCTGAGAAACAGATAGTGTTGAAAGTAAAGCAGAAATATTTTGTCACGGGATGAGTCCCAGAACACTGTGAAAAGGAGATTAAAATGGGACTTTGGCCTAAGCAAAATGCAGGGTCTATTTAAGACACAAGAGTAAGCTGCTAAAGTACTGAGTACTTTGAGATTTAATGGGACTTCAGATTTCTTTAGATGTATAATTTTAAAGTTGGAAATCAGCAGTATTGGTTACCTTGCTACAACAGAGCTTGTTTTAGCTGTAACCTCTCTTGTCCCTGCTGAAGGTGACCACAAAAGCAGTAGTACTTGGCCTGATTGAACAGTACAGGCAGAAAGAACTAATGGTGCCAGCTTATTTCTGTAGCCTGCCTGCTTCAGACCTGACTCCTTGAAGACTTCTAGTTGCAGAGATCTGGTTTGCTGCATCCTTAAATGCTTGTGCGTGGTATGAAGAGTTTGCTTAGCCCAAGTTGTTTGAATAACAGCACTGTTGTACAACACAGAAGTGCCTGACCTGAGAAAGTGGGAACTGCTCATGAAAACCAAAATGCATCAGTGAAGCACAGATCCTCGTGGCACCATCTGCTGGGAGTGCAAAGGCTGCTTGGCATTTCCCACATGGAACTTCACAGCATTGCTTTACCTGCTACAGGTAAAGGCTTGCTGAAAGGCTTGGCCAGGTCCAGTTAATACATAACATGAAAGCTTGTATAATTAATATCCCTCAATAGGTACTCATTAAAAGACTTCTAAGTGAACTGACATAACTGCCAGACCAGTCTGTAGCTAGAGGATGGTACCACCAGAAGGAGGGCAAGACTGCAGCAGTTTCAGGCGGTTCTGGTTAGCCTGGGTAGCTGCTATGTATCTTTGCTGTGCTAAGTAAGTCCTACCCACTGGTAAGCACCAAAAAAATCTTCCTGCTGGTTTTGCAGTTTCTTCCTTATGGCCTTTGCATACAGTCATCATAGTCTGTCTGGGGTGGAGCTATGTCTGCAGCAACTTTACAAATGTGAACAGCTACAATGTCCTGAGTAGAGAAAAATGTGTCAGCTCTGTTTACAAGCAACCCAGCCAAAATTCAAGTGCTTATCAGATTAGCAAACTTTCTAACCACATCCCTTTTGATAATTTTGGCTGGGCCCAGAAGGGGGACATGCTTATTGCTTAGACTAAACTTAAGCAGGCAAGTATTGCTTCAAGATTTTTTTTTTCATATCCACGTTTTACTTGTCTACGACTTGCCTCTTAGGGGTAACCAAGTAGGGGCCCAACTTACTGCCAGTTGACCCAAAGGGCATGTAGCTGTAAATCAGGGGGATTTTTCCTGTGAACCTCTGCTTAGCTAAGTTACATCAAAATACTTAAAGTAGTTGGATCACCCTTGTACCCTGTGTGTACCCTCAACCCCAAGATAATTTTGCTTTTCTTGTCTAGATTGCCTTCTAGTCCAACTTGAAGGAACTGGGTAACACTACTTTACTTGAAAGCTGAGCTTTATTGAAAGTAACGAGGAGATTTGTACATCCTCACTTTGCTGTATTTTTTATTTCTTCCTTCTTAAGTTATTCAAGTCAGCAGCAGCAGTTTCCTGGAAAGCAGTTCTGAGGCCTAGGAGGATTACTTGCAGAAGGATGACTTCATGAATAGGCAGCTGGAAAAAAAAAAAAGGAAGGGTATCTGTATGCCATAAAAGCAAAACACCTTCTTCCATCCTTTTTCCTGATGTAGAATGATGGGTTGATTCCTGGTAGGAATGAAACATCTCTTGATCAGTGGCATGTGGCTGTCAGAAAGTCTAGATGGCTTGTACTTTCAGTTCTTCCATTCCAAAAATGGAGATCTACAACTTGCATTTTACAACCACTTGTTCTCAGGGTGAAACTACTGCAAAACTGAGAATATGGACTTCTGGCTTGCAATACCTCATTGCTCACTAGATTTCTTGTGTCTTAGCAAAATCCATGACAGTGCATCTTGACATGTAATATGCACTTAAAAGAGCAGCTGGAGTTATTACAAGCTATTATCTCTAAATGAATAAACCATTTAAAATGTAATTTTTCTTTACTCTTTGTGTTCTGGGAAACAAAAGCATACACAGCCCTGATGTGCAAGTTTTGAGCACATGATGCCATCCATTCACCTATGATGCCATCCATTTCAGGCTTCCATTTCAAGCACAATGTTTCCTAATTTGAAACTTTTTAACTTGCAAAGCAGACTTTGGTTTAGCATAATGAGTTTGGATGTACTAACTAAATCAAAACTTTAAGAGCTTCGGCTTTGTGATCTTGACCTTGAAGCAATGTGAAGAGTGGAGATAACATAGAACTAATCTAGATAAAGTATTCCAGTTTGTTCAGTCTGTCAAACTGCTAGCTCAAAAACATTACAATTTTTTTCAATGTTATCTGAACTCATTCAATTAAAATATAATAGATTCATGTGTTATATATGCATTTACATTATGAGGAGTCAATGTGAATAAATTGCCTTCCTGATAATTAATAAAGTTAGGCAGGGGATTTAAATCACTCCTCACAGAATCTACTTAGGCTACACAGGAAGGTTTAGAGGATAATTTTGAGTCTAGTCCCTTGCTAGCTTGATCATACCATTTTACATCATGATGTTAGGTTATGACAAGCTAAGACATGTTTTTTCTAATATTTTTAAATATTCATTTTTCTATTAATTTTGTATATCCTTAGTGATTCCAGGATTTCTTAAGGACTGCTTAAGATGCATCCCAATGAAATAGGCCTGCTAAAACATCAGTATGCCCTGTTCTCCTCCTGTCTGTGCAGGTTTATGTTCTTCTCAATCATGGAGACAGCTCATGGACCTCTGATATTTCTGCTGTTTAGACTGAAAAATACAATAATAAATACAGTTGAGCAGCTTTTTTTGTCCCTGCTGTTGTGCTGTGCTCTCCTTTGGAAAAGCAGCTGTCCTGTAGGCTAATTCAACTAAGATGACATCAGTTCTGGTCGCTTTTTAAACATCATCTCCTAAGGGCACAGGAGCAGGCAATTCCAAATGTTGGAAGTCAAGCAGGTGAGGCAGAAGGCCAGCTTGGCTGAAAATGAATCTTCTCTTGGAAATAAAGCAAAAAAGGGAGGTCTATGCCCAGTGGAAGCAAGGTGAGGTGATATGGGAAGAATTCAGAGATGCTGCTTGCTTCTAGAGGGAGAAAATTCGTGCAGCCAAAGCTCAGTTGGAGTTGCAGCTGGTCAGAAATGTGGGTGACAATAAAAAGAGTTTTTTCAAATACATTAATGGCAATAGTCAGTATAGAAACATCATTGGCCTGTTACAGGATGTGGATGGTCACCTCACAAACAGGGACAGAGACAAGGCAGAGGTGTTTAACTCTTTATTTGCCTCTGTCTTCAACACAGATGATGGACCAAGGGGGTCTCAGTGCCCTGAGCTGGAGGACCATGACTGCAAGAATTATCAACTCCCAGTCAAGTCTGAAATTGTGTGAGATCTGCTACTCCAGCTGGATCTCTACAAATCTATGGGGCCTGATGGGATTCATCCTAGAGTCCTTAAAGAACTGGCTGATGTCATTGCAAAACCTCTCTCAATGATTTTTGAGAGGTCTTGGGAATCTGGAGAGGTCCCAGCTGACTGGAAGCTGGAACCCAGAAACTACAGGCCTGTCAGTCTCCCATCAGTGCCTGGTAAAGTTATGGAGAAGATTAATCTGGGAGTTACGGAAAAACGCATGAAAGACAAGGCTGTCATTGGTCACAGCCAGCACAGCTTCATGAAAGCAAAGTTCTGTTTATCAAACCTGATTTCCTTTTATGACAAGGTAGCCCACCTAGCTGATCAAGGGAAGCCAGTTGATGTAATCTTTTTGGATTTCAGTAAAGCTTTCAATACTGTCTCTCAAAGAATCCTTCTGGACAAAATGTCCAGCACACAGCTGGATAAACACATCATGTGGTGGGTGAGCAATTAGTTCATGGATTGAGCACAGAGGGTAACAGTGAATGGGGGAACATCTGGGGGAACATCAGGCTGGTGACCTGTCACTAGTGGGATTCCACAGGGCTCCATCTTGGGCCCTGTGCTCTTCAACATCATCATAAATGACTTGGACACAGGACTGGAAGGGATACTAAGCAAGTTTGTAGAAGAAGAAAACTCAGAGGAGCTATTGCCTCCCTTGAAGGTAGGGAGGCCCTGCAGAGAGACCTCAACAAATTAGAGGACTGGGCAATCACCAAACACATGATGTTCAGTAAGAGAAAGTGCTGGATTCTGCACTCGGGACAGGGCAACCCCGGATGTTTGTACAGACTGGGGAATGAGATGCTGGAAAGCAGTGTC